GCAATTGTATTCGAAAATGCGATAAACGAACTTTGTGTTTGGTACGAGAGGATTTCTGTGAGCGTGGCGGGATCGGGTGCGGGCCCGGGGGAAGATTAAACGTCGGCTCAAATGAATGGTCCATAAACAGTTCGGTCGAGAGCCTCTAAACTAAATATATGCGGTCGTAATTTTTGACGCCGGTTTGCGTCAAATTATTCCGGTGATAAAACAGGTGGCCGAAGCACCAGCAGTTCGATCTTCTGCGGTCGCGATTGCCCCGTTTCCGGGGGATATTACTGCGCTAATTGCCTCCGGACTATCGACTGACCGGGAAAAAACGTCCAGTCTTAGGTAAATGCTTCTCAATTTTCCACAGTTTAAACACGATAAAAGAATTAATGGGAGACCGCAAAAGGCTTTACTTTTTGTAAAGTAATAAAATGAGAATTATTATCCTGTTACAGGATAACCAGAAAAACTGATATAATTTTGCACTTTAAGATAAAAAAAGCTTGAATAGTTCTACTTAGATTAAAGTTACATTTTAACTAAATTAGTCTTCAACTAATAAGTATACCTATATACCTAACTCCTATTTTATGTTATATGAAATCGTATACTTCGTTCAGTTTCTGTAGCGATGTGACCTTCAGTTTGACCGGCGCAAAGTAGAAAAGAACAGCACTAGGCCAAAAAAGAAAGGAGACAACTCTCGGCCAAACTCTTAACCGGTGAGGAGCGTATAATCCGTACAGTACTGCACGGAAAAATTGACCATTTTATCCACTACAATTGCATTGCTCAAATGTGCTGTTATTGGTACCATTTACTACTGAAAATATCAACGAGATGTTTATTTATATTTGAAGACATATTAAAGGCTTTAACGCTTGTTTTCGACTCGCACTACTATTCATGATTGAACAAAACTTTTGGCAGGTACTGTATGAAAAAGTATGTTTAATGAACAAGAGTCGAAAGTATAATGAGCTTTTTTCTCCCTACCTATGATTTTGCCAGCGCGCATCCAAGACATTGGAAGGGGCACATCGCTAGAGAAAGTAAATGAAGTATACTTACACATCTTCGGTAATTATGATCTTTTTTCAACAGGCGGGCTGATGCCAAAGAACCTGACTCAATCTTTTTGGGTGCGTTGCAGGTACTATTACTTAATTATGCATTGAGCTATTAGTACTAGTTGCCCTGAAATATGATCGGGGGATTATTAATAACTCCCCTTCTAATTTAACTTATTGTTTTATCTGAAAGGGGTATGACAGAGGTTTTAACAAATCTGAGTACTATTTCGTATGCATCGAGGAATACTGATTTTTGAAGTTTATGCAGTTTCAATTCTGTTGGGTTGGCATGTAATAGTTTAACGCCTAATGATGAAGTTATTATTGGAGTAATTCGAACAATGTTCTGATACCACATTTATTTTATTTCTTGGGCTAAAAGTATATTATTTTTGAATTTTGTTATTGTGTCAACATCTATTAGATACACTGTATACGTTTCCTTTATAATTATTGTTTAGGTCTTTTACGATTAGTTGCTCTCTGTCTATAAATGCCTCAGTTTTGAATTTTTAAATGTTAACTACTAATTAATTGCGATATTGCACTTTTATATTAACGTAATTCGATTTTCCCAAACGTTTCTAGTTGAGGCATGAGTAACAGTACTGGTCAAATTAAATATGCAATAAAAGTTTTTAATAAAAATATTTATTATTGCAAAACCTGCACCAAAGTTTCGTCTCTAATTTAAGGCATTTTCAAGGCTGAAATATAAAGTGACGGTGTTAAGAATTTATTATATTATTATACACTAAAGCGGCAGAATTGGTACACAATAAAGAGTACTTATAAACTTACTAAATGTATTCTATTATTAAGAATCATAAAGGCTTTCTTTTGTGAACTTTAAGATTCTTAAAGCTACTTTATAAATTTTTATTTAGTTGCCGATTTTACTAAATAAGTACCTAATCACAACTAGGCCGGACAAACTTAAGATCTATTTTGGTCGTGAATATTTACCCTGATCTTAATAGGGATTTATATTGGACCTTGGTCAATTTATTAAGATTTACCGCGGCGAAGCCCTGTTTCCTCTTTCGATTTGGAGTTGGAGTTGGAACAAGTTCTCGGAGAGGCTTGGCATGCAACGGTGAAGACACAGGCGCGTCTTTCGCTGCAAAATTAAGAGGCGCGCGTGAAGAAGAAGGGAACCAACTAATTAGAAATACTTTTGTTTAATTGAGGTCGTTAATTTCCCGCCGAGCAAGCGAGGATTATTTCGGGCCGTTAAAATTTTTGGGGATCTGTTCCGAGTGGAGAAACAACTACGCCGTTTAATTGGTAAGACGCAAACTGTGACGCCACCTTCTGCCCCTTTAGAAGTTTGTATATCGATAAATTAGTAACATCACTCTCTACTATTACATAATATAGGTTAGAAACTCAAATAATCACTTTCTAAATTAATAGGAATTATTATAATTTATTCTTGAATGGTAACATAATAATGCGCTAATTGTTTTAAAAGCATTATTACGTTCAGTTCCTAACCTATTACATGAGTCATCAGGAACTAAAACATCACATATTCTCATTATCGATACAGTTCATAATGATGCTAATTTAACTTATTTGGTTTTAAGAGATCTCTAAAATTCAATGTTCCAGAGCAATTCTATTTCGTTCATAAAATGCGTTCACTAACAGGAGAAAAAGTGGGATATTGGTTAACGCGACGAAATGTGGTAAAAGGGAGGAGATCCAAGGAAACGTAACATTCACATACATGACATACTCTGATGTGTTGGGACATTTCTGAGACCAGATTCGAATTTAGCGTCAAAAGATATGATAGAAATGTCTACTCACTTTCTAATTTTACTTCACAATGTATTGAAACTCTTAAAAAAATTAGTTTTGAGATTGAGGTCTTTAAACCTTGACGTAGCATAGTAACTTTGAATCCAGAATTTCGGATTCAGCGTCGCTATTAATTATTACACCGGAAAATTGTTTGTTTATTGCTCTTAATTAATGCTTTGGAGAGATTGGGAAGGCTGGAAGAAAGAAATATAAAGAAAGAAATAGGAGCAACAAAATAGATCTAATAGAGTGAGCGAGGGTGCGTTGAAGATTTGAAAAACACAACAGGAGCAGAGGAGGAAGTGGTTTAAGGAGCGGAAAAACGGTAGGAGAATAGATAAGGAATAGATGCAGAGAAATAATAAGAAGAGAGGATTTAAGATATGTGATGAGTGGAAAGAAGATAATACGAAGGGAGTGACGGGGGGACTGGGTGCAAAAGGTATTTAAAAAGAGGGAAGGAAATAAGTGTAATGGCAAGATTTAAGACAAGGAATGAGAGTAGAGGATGTAAATATTGGACAAAGGAAGAAGACGATGTAGGATACGTGAAACGGAGGAAGAGAGCTTGAAACATGTGTTAGGAAGAATGTTACGGGTTGGTAAGGGAGGATAGAGATGGGCAGAGTTGTCTAAAGATTTTAAGGAATAGGAGGGCAAAGTAGAGCGTAGGGCAGGGAATTAGGTGAGCAAAAAAGTAGAGTAGGAACAGAGATAAGAAGTTGTGAATATTAATAGAAATTAGAACTTACTGTACAGCTGGCTAATTTTTTTCTCACGTTGTCACAAAAACGATCATGTGGATGTATAATTTGACATAATATTTAAATTTATTTTGGTGTTGGGGAAATTAGTGGACGTTTGTTTTATGTTTTTCTTTTTTCCTTCAAGTTTTTTATTACATGTAATAAAATTAGTTCATAAAGAGGAATTTTTTTTATTAGCTCGAGTTGATGTCTTATAGGAAGATTTTGGATTATTTTTTATTTTTGTATTTACCTAATAAAGATTATTAAATATTAATGTTTACTTATATTCATTATATATTTTCTATAAACATCAAATACAGCTTAATAACTATTATTGATTATCAGAACAAAAATCTTGGTATTTTAGCGTAACAAATCAGCTTTGACCTTTATGGTCATGGGTGTTCCGCATCCACTATTTAACGTCTCGTGGGTGTTGAAGCAATCAAGCACCCTCTTCAACACCCGATTTTGTTGATCTGTGTTACACCACGGTCTCTAGCTGTATTTGAATAAGTGTTTAACACTTTTCTCGAACCACGCTGTACAATCGCTGTGGCTTACAGGGTGTTTCTGTCCAATATTTAACCTTTACATCCAAAAAACGTTATTATGGTTCTCTGGGTGGTTCAAGAACACCTACATCGTTTTCGCCTAATACGGATAAACATCTAGAATTCCCTATAGTACATACAGTTTTACGAAAAGAAACAGTTCTGGTTGATTTTTCTCGTGGGGTAATTATCGAGCGTGAATTGCGGCCGCTCGGATACAACACCGCTGCGTTGTAATCCTTAACGGCTTATATGGTAATATGATGGCGACGTGTGCGTATTTCAGGTTTTCCTATTTGATTAACGAATGATAGCGCGCCATAAATCGCGACTAATAAAGCCATACACTCCAATATTGCTTTCCTCGACAACTACGTCCGCCGACCGTAAACATCGGCAGAGAACGGCGAGCGATTTCGAAGCAAGCGCGGCGCACCGCGCGACTCCGAGCAGCATCGAGCGACGACTTATAATGCATTCACTATTAGTGGGTATAGTATACATAAGAGCGCAAATTTACCTAAACGTGTCCGTGTGTACGTATGATATGTGCTCCTGTACCTCAGGTGTACTGTGTCATAATATCTGGCATGCAAATCGGACCTGTGCAGGTCAATTTGCAGAACAACTTCGCATTTATTTATACCCGGAAGAAATCGCTTAAAATATGCGCAAAACAGTACAGTATATAAAACGCTGATAATAGCGAAAATTATGTCTTAATCCGGGAAAATAACCACATTTGAAGAGAATGATTTCAACGCGAGTACCCATATACATAAACCGACGTAAAATAAAGAATAAAAGCGAATAAAGTGACTTACCAAAAGTGTTTTTAATCTACATGAAGTAGCAAAATATGAATCACAACCTAGAATCGAAAATACATTCATTAAATGAAACCTGTCTTTCAATATATAAATAAAACTACTAACTCGTTAAAGCTAAAAAAGTTAAATATCATGTATCTGCAATTTAATTTAAATTTTATTATCTAGGTTTTGTGACTTCTTTTAAAATGCCTGATAAATAATTTAAATTTCACTTACTCATAAATTAAACAGCAAAAAACTAAAACAATTGTATTTTATTAATTACACTTGTTTATTTAGTTTAAAAATAAAAGAACATTTCAAAACTAATATTACGCTTTCATCCTAACCTAATAATTATCCAAGCAAAGAATATATTTTATGTAGTTACCTACCACGTTTTAAAACGGATTAAGAATAAGTATAAAATAATACCTTTCAGTCCCATTCGGATTCCTAATTCCAAACAGATAATGTTACAATTTGTAATTGTGAATATTAATAGGCATTTATTTACCATTATCTGTGAGCAGTAATAAAAAATTTACAAACACAAATATTCTGGAATATCTAATACGGGGTGAAAAATTATTTCGTACTTTTTAATCCGTTTTAAGATGATGGTAGGTAGGTACATAACAAAGAGTTTTTGAAATAATTCAATCAGTGTATTTTCGACTTTCTAGTGAATTTTTCAATCATTTTGATGAGATTGTAATAGAACATCGGTAAATTAGTTTAAAATTGATTGCAAAATTTGTATCGAACATATAAACAGATTGATAAGAGACTGAGCTAATAAAAAAAGTAAAATAATAAGATGTACTTTGACATTATTCTCTTTAGAAAAAAAAAATGTGTTTATCGAGTACCCTAGATGTAGCTACATAACATTATAAAATACCACAGGCCAATTAATAAAAACAAATACCGAAAAAAATGAAAAACATAATAAAAAATTGCCAAAAATGGAAATATAAATATTGATTTAACCATCAATAAATCACGTTCCATATTTCAAACTTTTTCAAAGCGGTCACAAATCTTTTCCAAAAAATTTTGAATGAAACTGGTCTAATAATTACTAAACTGTTCTTCCCTTGCTAATTTGAGATATAACTTTTCAATCATAATAATCTAATAGGTCATAACAATTGTTAACATTTTTAATTTTTTTAAAACAAACCAAGACATTTTATCTTATAGTTTTTTTTATTTTTAAGTATAAAAACTACTACATTTCTGCTCTTTAATTTTTCAGGA